AGATAACTGATAACTGACATCCATTAAAACATGGCACGTGGAACTAGAACAGCCTACCACAGTGAGCGAAATAAAGGGTTCAGTTCGACATTCCAACCACCTGAAGAAGGCCGGTGCGTACAACGGCCGAAACGTTGTGATAAATATGGCGACAAAGATGAGGACAATAGTTCGAATAATGTAAATAATGTACATAATACCTCATCTCAGAAATATAAACAGATTCTATTTAACCTTTCTTGATATAACGCATATCGAAATTAAGGAACCATTCGTGGATCGCTGTGCGATAACGAACTGATTTTTTTAAAATTTTACTGAATTAAATTAGATAAATACTAAAACACATTGTTCATCGAGTTTGTGTTAAGCTATTAGACTTGGACTTTTTTCTCAGTTTCAATGATGTGTATAAAGAAAATTACAATGCAGATTACATGTACAGCACCAGCTTCCAAAATCTCAGTATGAGCAAGGTAAAGCGTGTACAATTTTTTTATTCAATATTTTAAATAGTTTTATGTAACATTGATCATTTGCGTGCTGTCTTGAATTTAACAAAACTGTTTTCGCTAAATGCAGCGATCTACAGAATTTTCATTTGTACGAAATAAGATCTCCATCAAATTTTAAAATTAGTTTAAAGTTTCGCAATTTTATATTTTTAATTTCTTACAATAAGATTCGGCTCCATGCCAAACAAGCAGGAGTACCCAATCATGGTTGTCAATTTTCTGTCACCCCTTATATCTGGCCACCTAACTCATCCTTGATCATTATGTGTATGGCGCAGTTCGACGTGAGACCAACAAAACTCCCTGTAACACCAAAGATGAACTGAAGGCAAGCATTCACCAACTTAAAAAAGAAGACCGTCCAGAGAAGATGCAGGAGATTCTGAAGTCATCTGGATGTTGTTGTGGAAATCAATATCAATTTTATTGAATAAATTTATTCTTTATTCTTTCAAGATATTTTTGTGTAACTTTGGTACATATGAAAATATGAAATATGAACATGAAATGTTAGTGTTTTTTGGTTTTGTTTTATGGCGTAATTTTGACGACAATTTATCCATCAACCCCTGTATATCGTTTATTGCCTAAGCTCGTGTAAATGGATGACAGAACAGGGTTTAGAAAACATCACAAAAACATATTTTCTGAGAGCTACAGGTGACAGAAAATTGTGGAGAGCCATGATAGCAAACGACCTGAAGGGACACGAAACAGAAGAAAACTGCCCCAACTAGAAAACAGCTATGAATAAATATTCTCTTTACGATATAAAGTCTTGACATGAATAAATCATCCAGTAAAGCCTTAACATAGTATGGCGGTGGCATATCATCATTTCATGTTCGAATAATCAAAAGAACAGTCTGCGACGCAGAATATATTTAATATAAAATAAGAAAAACCGTCGTATTAAAAAGAAAGATGTAAAGAAAAGAAACTTGTAGGGGAATTGAAGAAATACTGTACAATACTCTTCGAAATTACAGTATCAAGGAAAACACGCTTGGCGGAAGCACTGCACCGGAAATGACGTCATATCGAATTCTGGTGATCGAATAAAGACTGTGGTGGACGAGAACTTGCAAGATCGATATGGCGCTTTGAAATGAAATCAAGCTCAAATAGACGTGTTCTTTCATCAAAACAAATATTCGTGACGAATGGGTCCCGATTTAGATTATTTCCAATAAACGAAAAGTGTGTGGTTTTTACTGGGAATTCATATTTCTATTTCGTGTCAGTGTAGGCGAACGAAAATAAAGATGGCCGACTTCTTGAAAATCATTCTCCATTAATTATATAAGCTTGACAATAGTAAAATCTCACTAATATAGGCTTTTCTACTTATATCGATATCTTTCCTGACTGAATGACTAAAACTTTTTAACCATGTGCCAGACTTTATACTTATACACCATAGCATGTGGTAGAATTTGAGGATACAAGGACGTGCGTTGTGGTGTACTTTATATCGGCTGAGAAGGTGAAACCGGAGAGCCGAGTTCGAATTCAGGTTGGGTTCATTACGTTCATTTTTGCGCAAATACGTTTGGGAAATATATGAATCCTTCTCTTCTCCCGCCAGCTATGGGTTAAATAACAGGATACACTAAATCCTACCGTTTTGTTTGGTAACCAGTTTACCGCAAAAAAAGCAGCATCCTACTGCGGTAAAATCATCTACGTAGGGAGTCATCAATCGAATGAGCGCCCAAGCAACTAACTGACTGAGTCTTAAATACCATATTAAAACAAGATATAAATAAACTGATACGACCTAAAGTGGCTTTCCTTTGTGTTTTCTACAAAATTTTCATGTCAATTGTTCTGAGGAGCTTTCCTTCTTAGTGTATCAACTGCATGAATTTAAGCGTTCTACTTGATTGGCAGTTAGGTCGCACCGTTTTTATGTTGAACTGTCTAGATACAATCGTTCTATTAGTTTATTTTCTCAAAATTCTTGCCTGTGGAAATCCCTTCCGTTTAATTGATTGGGTGGCGCCTAAAATCTTAAAAATTTTAAATGCAACGTCAATCGCCATTTTCTGCCTTCCTGAATACTGTTTCTTTATTGTCTATTTCCACATTTCTCACTCGAGTTCTCATTCTGTTTCGCCCCCCCCTCCCACCACATGCGTTGGAGTGGCTTTATCGCCTTGTTTTTTGTGAAATGATTAAAAATAAAAACATAAAACAAATTGAAAACAAATTGCCATAGATATTAAGTTGAGTCATGAATAATTCCGTTTTTTTTTCATTAAAGTTTATTCTATCAAAAAATAAATTATTAGATTTTCTCCATTTATATATCTACCCATTCTCTTTTCCTTCTTTTTTCTATCGACCTTTTATTTTTATTCTTTCTTTCTCCCTTCACCTCTTACTTCTCTTTCACTCTTATTTTTTTCTTTTCCTTTTCTTTCTTTTTTTCTTTTTTCTTTCTTTCTTTCTTTGTTATTCCTTTCTGTCTATCCTTTATCCTTTCTTTCTTTCTTTCTTTCTTTCTTATTCCTTTCTGTCTATCCTTTATCTTTTTTTTTCTTTTTCTCTCGACCTTCTGTTTTATTCTTTCTTTATCTCTTAAACTCTTATCTCTTACTTTTCTTTCAATATATATATATATATATATATATATATATATATATATATATATATATATATATATATATATACCATTATTTGAATTGTTTCCAGTTGTCAGGCAGCATTTCGATACTTCTTGAATTAAATTCCACAGGTAGTGATGTGAAACATTTTCGACGAAAAGGTTTTGAAGCAAAAATAGTAATATTCGGTTTGCGCAAGATCAGGTGAATATGGCGTGGGTATTTCCAAATGTCTTTGCCTGTCTTAATAATGCTAAATGGCGCTGTCATGAAGAAGAAAAAAAAACATTCTTTACCCGCTCCAGGCGCCTTTCGACCAGACTGTTATGGACACGTTGCAACTGCTGGACGTATAAATACGCATATAGTGCTTCCTTGCGTTTTAAGAACTGAACATGTCTTACATCGACATTAGCACCTCTCGCACAATATTACCTTTCTTGGACTCAAATTTTTGGATAGATTTGTGGAAACTTATCTTTGTCAACAAACTGCCTTTCGCTATGAATAGTGTCTGGGGTAAATAATGTTTTGAAAATAGAGACGGGTCACCAGGAATGTAGCCAATTGCATCCATCGTTGTCGACATAGCTGAGACGCGTTACCACCGCCCCATATCCTTTAACTCTATTTTTGTACGATGTTTGACAGCTGCAAGACACTCAGTGTGGAGGAACGTCAGTGAGTGTATATTTTACAAAACAGAAAAATTCAATGACACATCACCAATATTTAAGCGTTTTCATGTCAGACGCCATTTTACCTGGCTGCTATTTGTTGTAAGACAAAATATATGGGACATATATAGCGGTTCTGATTTAGGAATTCCAGTCGAATCCATTACATTCACTTACGTGCTAATACCCTTGGGAAAGGTATTAATCCTCTTCTTTTCCATCCAGCTATGTGTAAAATAGCTGGACAGACTGGGTTCTATAACCCTGGATGGCAACTGGTCTAGGATCTAGGAGAAGGGCAACTCTGAAGTCAAAATCTGCGGAGGATCGTTTGGGGACCTTGTGGTGCGTAGTGCACCAGGTCTCAACATTCGGCCCTTCAAAAAGTGTGGTTGGTTCTGCACAAAACCTTCACCACTATAATCAAATAATATATGCTGGTGTCTAGGAACTCAGCTGCTTGACCCTCATACGTCGATTACGATGGGAGAGTTCACTAGATAGATAGATAGATAGATAGATAGATAGATAGATAATTGTGATTTATCTATCTATCGAGTCCTTTTTCTTTTCTTTCTAGTTTTGATTGCCTTAACTATCCCAACTCTCTCTGTCACTTCTTTTCTCATTATGTGTTACAGAAATTTCAGCAGCCTCTTCCTGATGTTAATTATAAGCTTCCTCATTTTTTGCATCCTCTCCAAAACCTCATCGTTGCTCACACGCTCGGTCCATGAAATCCTTAGCATCCTTCTGTAGAACCATACCTCCATTGCCTCGAGTCTCTTTTTTCTCATTACGTGTCCCAGAAATTTCATCTGCCGCTTCCTGATGTTAAGTATAAGCTTCCTCCTTTTTTGCATCCTCTCCAAAACATCATCGTTGCTCACACGCTCGGTCTATGATATCCTTAGCATCCTTCTGTAGAACCATACCGCCATTGCCTTGAGTCTCTACTTTTCTCATTACGTGTCCCAGAAATTTCAGCTGGTGTAGTTTATCGTCTTACTCAGGACGCGGATGTAGTTTATCGTCAAGACGGTCAAGGTTGCATAGCAGTTCCAACCGACTACGCAAATTACACTGCAAAGAACCTGAGCATTAAACCAAATTATTACAAAATTACGAAAAAAAGTATTACAATCAGAATGCGAGTTAAAATATTTAAAAATTATAATTTTATTGTGAATATTGATTAGTTACTTTTACCAAGAGCACCGTTAAAATCTATTTATCTATCTATCTATCTATCTATCTATCTATCTATCTATCTATCTATCTATCATGGTTCATATCTATCTATATAGCTAATGTTGCTCATATCTATCTATCTATCTTGGTTCATATATATCTATATAGCTAATGTTGCTCATATCTATCTATCTTGGTTCATATATATCTATATAGCTAATGTTGCTCATATTTATCTATCTATCTATCTATCTAATGTTTTTCACATCTATCTATCTATCTATCTATCTATCTAATGTTTTTTCAGATCTATCTATCTATCTAATGTTTTTTTTCATATCTATCTAATGTTTTTTCATATCTATCTACCTATCTAATGTTTTTTCATATCTATCTATCTATCTATCTAATGTTTTTTCATATCTATCTGTCTATCTATCTATCTATCTACCTAATGTTTTTTCATATCTATCTAATGTTTTTTCATATCTATCTACCTATCTAATGTTTTTTCATATCTATCTATCTATCTACCTAATGTTTTTTCATATCTATCTGTCTATCTATCTATCTATCTATCTATCTACATAATGTTTTTTCATATCTATCTATCTATCTATCTATCTATCTAATGTTTTTTTCATATCTATCTATCTATCTATCTATCTAATGTTTTTTCATATCTATCTATCTATCTATCTATCTATCTATCTAATATTTTTTCATATCTATCTATCTATCTATCTATCTAATGTTTTTTCATATCTATCTATCTATCTATCTATCTATCTATCTAATGTTTTTTCATAGCTATCTATCTATCTATCTATCTATCTATCTAATGTTTTTTCATATCTATCTATCTATCTATCTATCTATCTATCTATCTATCTAATGTTTTTTCATATCTATCTATCTATCTATCTATCTATCTATCTATCTATCTATCTATCTATCTAATGTTTTTTTCATATTTTTCGCTTTCTCTTCTTATCTATTCCATCAGTGATAATCTTTTCTTTCATAATGAATGCCAGTGGCCATCAGTACCGATAATATTTTTAGATGAATATTTTATATAGAAAGGGGGGGATAATGATGACTGCGATGGCTGTGAACGTTTTAAGAGAGTGTCTTGTGTCCGTGGCGGTGTTGGTGGTAGTGGTAGTGGTGGTGGTGGTGGTGGTGGTGAGTCAGATGGTGTTGGTGTGATAAGAACAATGATAAGAATATTCTTTTTTCCTGACGTCATAAAATTGTTAAAAGATACAAATAATTTCAAAGACCCAATCATGGTAATGATGTGGTTGATCAAACCAGATACAGTCTTAGAAATGTCTACCATCCTGTGTTCCGGTGCCCGTCTCTTTAGATGGGCTTTGGAATAATATCTCCAAAAGTTTTCAAAGAATTTCAATGAGATTTTGGGGGGATAATTAACCCAGGATTTAAGATATATTTAATTTAATGTTGCGGAGGACAGAGAGTTTTTTTTTTTTTTTTTTTTTATTATTTCATTTTTTATAATCGTTGTCATCTCTCGTGTAAGAAAGCAATAACTTCAACAGGGTGACGTGAGAGTGATGAAAACATTGCAATAACATTGCTGTGGTTATTATAAATTTTATTACAAGTGGCCGAGTGGTTAGAACGTTTGCATTCTGGCCATGAGGCCCGGGTTCGAATCTTACCATGGTCGATTTGGCAGGAAGTTGACTTCATGATCCCAGTGCTTCACCTTTGAAAAGTGCCTGAAAACCATACCGCGGGTTGACCCAAGCCTTGTGAGGGAAATTGGGTAGACGGAGTTAGCACGAAGTCACAAGCCATCGTGGACGAGGGCATGAGCGTACAGGCCTTGTTCAAATTGGTGATCACGCTAGATAACATGCTCTTTCCCAGAAACTGTAACTAAAGTCTGCTCAGCATAGTTGCAGTATAAACCACAGGTGGGCTCTGTGAGTGTTGAATAAACACAAATGTGCCTGAGCAAGCGTCTGCAATAGGGATTGGCTAGCCGCCCTAGTAGACGGCTATCCTTGAATACGAGTGGCCAGCTACACATACATGCACGCATTACAAATAAACATTAAAATAATAATTAAAATCCTTTTTGCACAGCAGAGCATGTGATCTGTTACCTGGTCGTTCGGCTTATAAGGGTTTAGTTCGGACAGCATGGATGTGCAGCTGAGATAAATGGATAGTTGCCCAGGAGGAAAAATCGGAGATTCGAGTACGAATTTCAGTAGAGTTCATTGCAGTCACTTAATGGACAAATAATCTCTTGAGAAAGTTATGAATCCATCTCTTTTACCCCCGGTCATGGGTTAAATATTAAGACATTCAGCTGAAGAAAAAAATCATTGTTATCTTCAAACAATTGTTAATCCAATATACATTTGCAAAAGAAAAATATTGTTCATACAATCCAAAAAAAAATGTTTCTGCATTTAATAATCCACAAACGGGTGACAAGCCGTATAAATAATTAGTAAAACATTTCACAAATAACGTAACGTTCGCAAACAAAGAAGCTGAAAGCAGTCTTTCGAAATTTTGCGGGTGGGTGCGTATCGAATAGAAAATTATACCTTCTGGTGCTGCAATCGTTAAAAATGATTGCTATATAAAGTTTCGCTGGCGACACTGTAGACTGAACATAGAAAGCCAGTAAGCAAACACAAAAGATCCAATTATTAAATTAAGTGGATCACGTGATCATAAGAAAACACATAAAAAGACAGTATCGCTATTTTCTCAATTACTAATCGGATCTCTATTCCTACTCTATCCTCAATTATTATTCGGATCTCTATTTCTATTCTATCCTCTATTACTATTCGGATCGCTATTTCTATTCTATCCTCTATTACTATTCGGATCTCTATTTCTACTCTATCCTCTATTACTATTCGGACCGCTATTTCTATTCTATTCTCTATCACTATTCGGATCTCTATCTCTGTTCTATCCTCTATTACTATTCGGATCTCTATTTCTATTCTATCCTCTATTACTATTCGGATCTCTATTCATACTCTATCCTGTGTTATTATTCGGATGGCTATTTCTATTCTATCCTCTATTACTATTCGGACCGCTATTTCTACTCTATCCTCTATTACTATTCTGATCTCTATTTCTACTCTATTCGGTTCGATATTTCTTCTCTATTCTCTATTACTATACAGACCTCTATTCTCTATACTATTCAATATACCATTTCTCTATTTGGATTACTCTACGGATTACTGTTCGGGCGAGTTTTATCGACCAAGTACTATTAGTGCGAGTGTTATTCGAAGGCGTCTGACACCAGTAGTTTTCAACGGCGTACTATAATTGTATCTGCGATTACAAAGTCTCTACTAGAACGAACATTACAAAAGTGGCAACGAATATTCGTTGACATTAAAAAAATGATAATGATTACATTTTGATAAATATGGAAATAAATTTAACAGATATTTAATTTATATTTGTTGTGGTAAGAAATAAATGCTTCTGCCTATAAATTGGGAAAGAGAAAGTGTTTTACACCCATTCCCCATAAGATTGGAATAAACATATTGCTTAGAGCTACAAAAAGGAGAAAGATATGGAGGGCCGTGATCGACCACGACATGAAGGAAGACAGCCCATAAAAGAAAAAGCAACTGCCAATGTGTACCTCATTTTAGAGGGATTGACTTGTTTTTTTACAGTTTATCAAGCCTTTGCAGGTAATTTAAAGCCAGCAAACTTAGCAATAACAAATAGGAGAAACGAAAAGGGCAAAAATATAATATAAAGCAAAGCAAACAGTATATGCAAAGCAAATTAATAGCAATATGGCAAAAAAGTTTACAAACTAAGAATTGGAGTTGACACACTAGAGAAAGCTCGAACTCTAAACATAGCGATCTGACTTCAAGACAAGACAGACTGGGACTGTGTCAGATGAAACTGAGAACCGGTCTGTTTTATTGTATAGGAGAAAAAATCCCAGCATTCATTTGTGTGCTTTGGCCTATAAATTGGGGAGAGGAAAGTGTTTTGTAGTCATTCTTCAGTAATAACCCTGTTTCAAAAATGGAAGCTAAAAGCTTCGAATTTAATTTTGTAATTAAATTAAAAACATTACTTTCATTTAATCCTCAAGCGAATTTTAAGGATGAAATAGAAGTAATGTTTTTTAATTTAATTACAACATTAAATTCGAAGCGTTTAGCTTCCATTTTGGAAACATGGTTATTACTGTGTAGCGGAAAGAACGTATTTTAAATCAGTTAATTTATAATATTAATGCTCTGTAAATTTACATTGAGCACTATTTTGTAAAAATAAAGATATCAATAAAAACACCATATTATACATCTTACTGTTCTTTTTTTTATATATATATATATATATATATATATATATATATATATATATATATATATATATATGAATGAAAAAAGTATTCTTGGTAATAAAATCACTTTGTAAATCAAGTTTCCTTAACACTTATAAAGAGAGCTTCAGCCGAGAAACAAATCCATTGCTAGTATTATTATTTCCTTCAATAAAGAATTTAAGGCAATATTCATTCTCTACCTATACGGGTGGGTTTGATTCGGTTTATGGCAACCTCAAAGCGTTATTTAATGCCCCAATTTTTAAAATATATATATATATATATATATATATATATATATATATATATATATATATATATATATATATATGAATAAAAAAGTATTATTTTTTAACGAAATCACATTGTAAATCAAGTTTCACTTTTGCAAAGAGGGCTCCTGTCGAGAGACAATTCCATTGCTGGTATTATTCTTTACTTCAATAAAGAATTGCGAGCAATATTCATTCTCTACATATCCAGTTTCCTAGTTTTATTTCTTAACCAATATTCTGGCTTCGTAGATATTTTTATTATAATGAACAGGGAAAGGGGAAGAAAAAATGAATGAAGTTAAACTCAAAGAAATTTAGAAAGAAAGAAATTTAGAAAGAAAGGAAAAAAGAAAGGAAAAAAGAAAGAAATTGAGCAAGCAAATATGAAAATCATTAGTAAAGGGAAAGAAGAAAATTGAATGAAGTGAGACTCAAAGAAAGAAAGAAAGAAATTTAGAAAGAAAAAAAAAAGAAAGAAATGTCAAAACTAAACTTAAAGTTTAAAACAGCCTTGAAAATTTAGCTATGGATGAAATTATTTGGAAATAAAGAAAGACATCGAGGAAAAGAATGGAAACCAAAATGGTACGCAAATACCATGGCTACCTCTTGGGAAGTTGGATTTCACAGAAATACAAATTTTAGAAAATGGAGAGAAATCACATTGGAATCGACAGAATGAAGGATCGATA